CTGTAATATATATTATTCATTTAGCCAACTGATCGTTACGATCAGACCCATATGTATCCCCCTGGTCGTATAACTCACCTGCCCAAAACTGAATTAAAATAGGTTCCACGTTTTTTTTTTTGTTTTTTTTTTAGCAAATTTGTTTTGCTTATAATAAATAAAAGAGCCTGTATCATCGTCGCACGATGTTTGAACCTATTTATACGTGTCCCAGCCTGTCTTCCTGGTTTCCACCGTCAATTAATCTTCAAGCAACATATTTTTGTTTCATCCCTCGTTTAGCCTCAGACAAGCGCCACATTTTATAACTTCATCCATACACTTCAAGCCGCCTGGGTGGCTCCGAGGCGAGAGCGCTGGCCAATGGATCCCCATGTGGCGGGTTCGAATCCCGGCCGAGGCGCCCGCAATCTGACGGAGGCTTATTGCGGAGGAGGCGCCGTGTAATAGGGAGTTTTCGTAGACCGGGCTGTCTCCTCCGCTAAGCGTTCCGCAACGAAGAAGTTGCTACTGCGCCTGCGCGCCGATAGCCTTGACTGTGGAGTTCCCGCTATCGTAACGGGTTGCGGAGGGCCTTGCGGGACGGCGAGAACGATCTACGAAAACTCCCTAATAGTACGTTTACACTTGCGGATCCGCTAGCGGATCCGCCCAACTTTTGCCGCTGGAGCGAAACGCTGGGCGGGAAACGCGGCGGCGAGCCGAATAGGTCCCGGACCTATTCCTGCCGCCGAACGAGGCGTTTCGCTGACCGGAAGTGTGACCGGAAGTGACATTTTTGCGTAGCGCGAAGCTGCTACGTCACGAGTATGCGCTCTCCCACTTCGTTTTTGGCAATGGCGTCGACGGCATCCAGCGTCTCTGGCATGGCTGGGAACGAGGACAGCTCAACCGCCCCATATTCAGCGGAGATGTTGATTGACATTGTGAAAAATTATCCTTGCCTCTACGACCTTAGGAATGCGTCGTACAAAGATAACAAGTACAAAGACGAACTGTGGAACAAGATCGGTGCGGGATTCGGAATGAAAGGTATGTGCTTTCAAAACCTTGCAATTTTTAGAGGGAGCGGGTTTAGACTGCAGTGCGCCGTAAGCTTCCCCCTATTTGGTATTATCTTGCGAATTGCCAGCTACCTTAGCATGCGACCCCGATATTAGTCATTTGTTCTTGTAACAATGTACCGGTGTGTCGCGGAAGCGAGGAAGCAATGCGGGCGTGTCGGTTAACTGAAGAAATGAACGCAGCACACCAGCGACAAAGAAATCGCAAAATGCAGCGAAAATGACAAGTACTCTTTTGTGCTGTAAAAACGGTGCCAGGTCTCGTCGGTCATGTGCGCCACAACTATCGTCGGTGCCGAACAGCACTTGTAAAACCACTGTATGTTGTGTTTGCAGGACAGAAGTGCAAAAATAAATTTAAAAATTTAAAGGACTCGTTCACGAAGGTGCGAAATGGAATATCCACATGCATGAAGAGTGGCGCCGGCGCAGCGGACGTGCCCACGGTGAAGTGGAAACACTTCGAACAAATGATGGAAGTGATGGAGCGGGTCTCCGAAGCTCCGATGTAAGTAACAAATTTTTATATACGCCTCAGGCTGGTCCATGCAGCAGTTTTGAACCAGTTTCGCTGATTCAAGGGCATGTTGTGTGAAATAGATTTGCGCATTACTTTAAACATCTTTCCGCCATGTTTATGACGAATCGGTTTTCATTGCAGCCTGCGGACTAACATCGTATTGGGCACAGAGGCACGGTATGTTTCTGGCATTAATAATGCCGATCTCTACTTCAAAAACTAAGCATACAAAAATATTGAGCATATAAAATGCAAATTATTACAAGTTGGGAGCACAGACTGCTGCAAATGACTGCTCCGTTCTGGTGTACAGTGCTCATGTGGACGTAGTGCTATTAGAGTGGTACACAGCTGCAGGCACGTAGCCAGGATTTTTTTTTCGGGGCGGGGGGGGGGGGGGGGGCACGGGGCACCCATGACAAAATGCTGTATGAGGGGGAGGGGGGAAAGGAAATCCCAGCAAAATGGAAGATTTCGGGGGGGGGGGGGCATGCCGCCCCCCCTGGCTATGTGTCTGCACAGCTGTGATGCCTTACGCTCTAGTTCGTGTACTGTGCTAAGTCATGCATGTTATTGGTTAGCTTACTTTTTTTTAAATGCAAATTCAGTCGAAGGCATTTTCTGATTTGAGAACATTTGTGTTTATTAGAGACAGCAGCTCGCTGTCGTCCGACGGCAGCATCGCTGACCAACGGCACGTTGGGGAAGAACAGGCCGACAGCCCGTTTCTCAGCTACCAGGACTTGGGTGCAGCTGGTACATCCAGCAGCTCCACGGAACTGCATACAACTGAAGAGAGTTCAAGGTAAACAAATGAAACAAACAAAATAAATGTAACGTAGGCTTATGTGCCCTCTTGGGACTGGTATTGTTGCAAAAACGCTGAGACGTTATACTCAGCATGCGGATGCAAGCGCACAGCTTTCGAATGTGCCTTTTGTGCAAGCGCTCACACAAACGAAGCACTGTGCAAAGCTCTGCCCTCATGCTCTTTCCTTTGCCCTCAGTGAACACAAATTGTGAATCGGAGTAAAGGCGTTGGTTTTGCTAACTGAAAGCCTGCTACTCCACGATCGACACTCAATATGCAAAACAAAGAACCACTTATGTTGTCCGTTCAATGAAAAAAAACTAGCACACCACTCTCAAATTAGATGTTACTCATATGCTAACATCAACAATCAATTTGAAGATTCTACAGGACCTAAAGAGGTGCTCCTTCTATCCATTATTGTGTGAAGCAGATATAGTTTGCTACCATTTTCTTTCGTGCTTCCAGGTCCCAACAAATGAGAGAAACGCTGCTGGAGCAGGAGAACTCTGATGAAGAGAGGAAAGTGCACTATTGTTTTTATGCAACCTGAGTCCAGCTATGACCGCTTTACCAACTTGATAAGATGTAAACATTACTTCTGAAAAGTCGGGGGAGGGGGGGGGGATTGCTTTAGCACCACTTTCAACTGCAGTGACACTATCGGAGTTCCCTCTCCTTTAAAAGTTTGTCTTTTATTGCTTCTCAAACCACTGCATTTCCCTATGTTAAGGGCCCGAAGACCACGGAAAGTTGCAAAAAAAAAACGGAAACAAGCAACCACAACAAAGGTATGGCATGATTGCACTATTTGTAATCTGTTCTCACACCAAACACCTTTTTCAGCCCACAACAAAGCAGTGCGCCATCAGCTGTAATTGCTGCTGCCTGTTTGAGACAGATCGAGCTCAATAGAGAAGAGAGGAGGCACCCTCCTGATGCTGTACATCACTTTTGCATGTCACTGGCAGAGCAGCTGCGGTCACTAGGTGCAGATCAGCAGCTGGACACAATGCACAACATTCACAATTTAATGTATACTGTGATGAAAGAGAACACGACCGAACCTGCAAACTACATTCCATAGTTTTAAGCCAATGCATGCCAAACTTGGCAAAAGGCTTGTACCCAGTCCTACTAAAACCGTGCAGTGCAGCCGAAGCGACAGCCCCCGTAGGCCAATAAAGAAAAAAGTGAAAGCCGCTTACAACTCCCTGTAACGCCGAATTAGAGCGCAGCTCTTGAGGAGGAGGAGGGAAGGGCACTGGGGGGGGGGGGTTAGACTAACCAGGGGGGGGGGATCACTTGACCTTGGGGGGTCACGTGACCTTGGGGGTCACGTGACCCCAATGCCGATGATGTCATCACTGACGTCACTGATGATGTCATCAGTGACGATGACGATGCGGCTACCGATGACGTCATTAGTGACGTCACTGATGACTTCACCAGTGATGATGACGATTACGATGCGAACGTCGGTGACGTCATCAGTGACGTCGCTGACGACGTCATCAGTGATGATGACGATGACGATGCGGATGCCGGTGACGACATCAGTGACGTCACTGATGACGTCATCAGTGATGATGACGATGACGATGCGGATGTTGGTAACGTCACCGGCATCCACATCGTCATCGTCATCATCACTGATGACGTCACCGGCATCCACATCGTCATCGTCATCACTGATGACGTCACCGGCATCCACATCGTCATCGTCATCATCACTGATGACGTCACCGGCATCCGCATCGTCATCGTCATCATCACTGATGACGTCATCATCACTGATGACGTCACCGGCATCCACATCGTCATCGTCATTATCACTGATGACGTCACCGGCATCCACATCGTCATCGTCACTGATGACGTTACCGGCATCCACATCGTCATCGTCATCATCACTGATGACGTCACCGGCATCCGCATCGTCATCGTCATCATCACTGATGATGACGTCATCAGTGATGATGACGATGACTATGTGGATGCCGGTGACGTCATCAGTGTCGATGACGTCATCGGGGGGTCCCGCGACATCGGCGGGGGTCACGTGACCTCGGGGGGTCACGTGACCTCGAGGAGGGGGTCACGTGACCTCAGGGGAGTCACGTGACCTCAGGAGAGTCACGTGACTTCGGGGGTCACGTGACCTCGGGGGGTCACGTGCCCCCCACGAAGTCACGTGACCCCGGTGGGGGGCTCGCGCGGTGCATTATGGGACATTTCCCATGATGCACCGCGCGGTTACGCCGACGCCGACGCCGACGGCGACGCCGACGCCAACGGCGACGGCGACGCCGACGCCGCTCAAGCCGGAAACGGGCCCCTAAGAGCTGCGCTCTAAAACCGCACACTTATACCCCACGGAGTGACTGTGCAGGGTGACCTTCGATCTTCTGATTGGCTGCAGCTTGGCTGCACTGCACAGTTTTAGTGAGACAGAGTGGAGCTTACCTAGATCTTGCTTTTGTATCATGCTCTGCTACGTCTAAGAAGTGTCTGTGCTTCATGAGTGTGTGTTTTTTCTTTTTCCAATGTTTTTATTGTTACACTTATCTTGTGTCAAGCAAAAAAAAAGAAAAGGCAAGATAGGTAGTTTATTGAACGCCACATTTTTCATGTCAGTGTTTTTATTAAAAGTTAAATATCCCATAATAAAAAAGGCTCAAGGTACCCCATAAACACTGCTTATGAGTTGTGAATGCGCAAGCATGTACCTATGTCATTATTCCGCTCCCCTATTTTGTCTGCAGCGTATTTGTGTCGACGGCAGGGCGGCGCGCTCTGCCCGCACCCTGCCGTGCCGTTTGGCGCGGTTTCAAAGCTGATGATGTCGGCTCGCCCCATGAGACAGTTAATGCTTTCCCATTAAAAAAAAAATAAGCGGAAAATGAAAAAAAGACAACTTGGTGTCATACCTTCATCTATCTTTCTGTTCCTTCCCCATATATCTTTATCATTCCTTATATATCTAATAAAATGACAATTTGAGTTGAAAGTCAGCACTGTGTGTGTGTGTCACTGAGTGTATATTTTATTGCATGCCACTTTTCTCGTGAAGCATGCATCACCTGCACAGCTACCAACATTTGAGATCAGTGCTTGATTTCGATTTGCAACTGGATAAATGAAGAATCCCACCTACTTGTTCCTGCCAAGGCATCACACCATGTCGTCTTGCCATGGCACCTTCCCAGCAGTGATGAAGTAGTGGGACAGCTTGTCCCTCATGGCATAGGCCAAGCTGGATACACCACAATAATGTGTATAAGATTTGAGACAGTGTCATTGAACCTTAAGGATGCAATCATGCATGAATTCCACAACACAACGAATGAAGTCTACATTTTTCTGCTTTAAACAAGCTTTTTGCACAACATAAATGTCATCTCTGGTATTGCTAGTCACCTTATGCAAACATAACAAATACCTTGTTTCAACAGAAATGAAAAAAGTACTTGCTATGGAACGAGCTGATGGTGCATAGACTTTTGCACAATTACCCTTGCCATAAAAAAGTGTAGTGCAAATGTAGTTGCATATGCCGATGCCTGTAGCAGCAATTTTTTTGTAAGCAAACGTCAAATTGGCACTTTGCACAAACGTTCCTCAACGCCTTTTTGTTGCGATTTACTTCCACTCAGCCCTGTAACTATTATTGTGTATCCAGATGCAAATGGTCGACATGTAAAATTTTTCGCTAATGTACTTCAGCTCTGGAAATTGGAATTAAGAGAATATACTATGCTAAGAGTTTTTCATATTAAGAGTAATCAAACTCGACTAAAACACTACCTGTGAAAATCTATTTATTCTTTGTACAGCTGACATGATACCTCTGCCACAAATATGCTCGACATTAGATTAGTGACAACATGTAAATGGGACTAGGGAACAGGTCATGGGTACCTGCATGTTGCTGCACTGCATTGAAGCCGAAATGACATGTACAGAAAAGTGAAAACTGGCCTCTCTGCCTGCTCTGGTCCTACCTGGTGGGACGACCACGTGTGTTTGACTGGCTGGTGAGTGCAGCAGTGGAGTTGGGCTCTGCCCGCCAACTGCCAGCTCTTTCATTGCCTTCCCAGTCGTCAGTGTCGCCAGTGCCGGGTGGGCAATAGGACGTTGAGGAAACCTGCGATTCCTTGAGCAGGAAGTTATGAAGCGCAATGCAGGCTGCCACATATCTGCTTGTGTTTTCTGTGTTCGCCCTAAAAGGGCGTCGCAGAATGCGCCACTTTTGGGCGAGAATGCCAAAGGCATTTTCTACAACCCTTCGGCCCCTACTAAGCCGGTAGTTGAAGATGCGCCGCCGGTTGCATGCCTCGCGTTCCCCAGATGGCCTCTCTTCATTAGGTGCTTGGTCAGTATCGTCCGTCTGGCCTTCAGTGCGTGTGGGCTGTAGGCCTGCAGCACAGAGTCATTTTCATATTAGCTCGAGAGAAACATATGCAAAGCCATTTAATGCAAGTAAGACTGATGGGGAATTCCAATGGTCGATTTGGCATGGATTTTCAGCGGTCTTTTGTTGCTATCTTTATGCACAGACAAGCGCGAGCTAGCATTTGTCGGTCTAAAGGCGAGAGCGAGGATCGCTTTTGAATCGCTCCAAAACGACGCGTGGAATTCGCCACGATTGTGAGAGACGTAAAATGCCCACTACACCACATTCATCTCCAGGCATGCCCTCATTATGTACCATCGCTTTACCCGGTGTGTCACTCCTCCACAAATTAATTTTTGAAGGTTACTTCCATCATGTAGTTGTGTCTCCTTTGGGTTTTTGTGACACTATCAAAAGCTGGCTATTCTGCACTGCTACATTGCCTTGGGAACTTGTTATATCCTCAGCAAAGAAATATATTCTTTGCGACCTAGATTTTATCTATAAATAAAGGGGGGGGGGGGGAGACGGAGACGGGAGAGAGAGAAGAGGTCACTTGCTTTTTCTTGGATAAGGCCGCATAAGGTACTTCTTCAGCGGGAAGGCCTCGTCCCCAACCAAGAAATAAGGCACTGTGCCAATGTTGCCTAGACTAGAATCTGGGGGAATGCCCTGTTGGTCTGCGACAATGCGGCGCTGTAGCTCGCTACGTGCGAAGATGCCTCCGTCCGACTCGCTGCCATGGTGGCCAATCTCCACATACAGGAACCTAATATGCATGAAAAAGAGAAAACACATCAGTGCATTTAGCTTTCTGGTCTCCATATCATTTAAAGAAACATGTGAAATATCAGAAGCATTGACAAGACAAATCGGTAAATGTGAACTGCACAGTTTTCACGTGACAACATCCAATTCACCTCATTTCTGTAGCAGCAACGGCAGTAAGTGCTCAGTAACTATAACCTCTACATTTTTCAAATGAGACACCTGTGCAAATTGGAAATGACCACCCATAAACCTTTGAACAGCAGCCACCTGAGCAACTTCGTTTCTTCTGGCCACCCTGTACGGAAAAGAACTCTGTGTGTATGTGGGCGGGGGGAGTGGGGAGTTGCTGATGAACCATCCCTCCTTTCCCCCCCCCCCCTTCCCTTCACTTCAAACAAAATCCTGGCTACGCTACTAACGTGACAAGTGGCTGAAATATGCCGACGCTGAAGCGTCAAGGTCTGGCATTCTGGCTAGCTTAGTGGCGAACAAATAATGCACTCCATGCAAAAACTACAACAAAAATAAATGTTTCATATTGCACAAGCTTTGCGCATATTCTTGCAATTCTGCAATGCGCAGTCTTGCATGCAGTGCTTTAGGAAAGTAGCCAGTTGCAAGCCTACTACTGATGTGCTCACGCGTGTATTATACATGCTTGTACGCGTGGGGCACCACCTAGGATGCCTTTTTTGCAAATGCATATAGGAGAGGCATAGTCAAATTTGTGTTTTATGTCATCTCACTGACAGCCGAGATATTTATTAGCTCCTCTGATGTTGCCAGGTAATTAATAAGATATGTAATAACTATCATACATTCATCATATTTCACAGGAAGCCTCACCTGTAGTAGGCGTCACTCACAGCAAGCAACGACTTGCTGAAGCCATTTTTATAATTTCTGTCCTGGCTGCAGGACTTCGCAGGACACTCGATGCTGACGTGCTTGCCGTCAATCGCACCCAAGCAATGTGGCAAATTCCATCTTTCCTCGAACTCGCCAGCAACCTGAAAAACAAAATTTGGGGGTTAAGTGTCACTCAAATAAAGTATCTGGTGCACACCAGCATAAACTTGCGGTGCATTTCAACCACACGGGTGCTTTTGGACGTGCAACTGAAACCAGGGTCATAAGGTGAAGTTTTTGCAATAACCCGAAATGATATTGTAAGCACATTGGCTGAGATTCAAACCCGTCAACTTGATATCCATCAGGGTTGCGACCCCGGAGTTGGAATGGTTCTGGAACCTTTCCACATTTCCATAGTTCCAAAACGGAATGAGAATGGAATGGGGTAGTGGAGGGAGGGAGGAATGGGAGTGCGACTGGACCCTTTAATTCCGAAATGGAGTTCCGGCTGATGCACCATCTGCGTACGCGTGCAGCATGCACATGGAGGTTGCTTTGACAGGCTTCATGCGCATGCTGCACGTGTACAATTTTTACTCACATACAAGCGAAGAAATGGTGATAGCCAGTTGCCCTGCTTGCAATCGTCTATACATGACTAGCACCGACGTCCTATCAGTGGCCATGTTGGTGTTATCTGTGCTGCTGCTGAGCGCATACCTTCAGCAGCGTGCACTTCGCACCATCAGATTAGTTTTTCTCAGCTGGAACAAGTTGGAATGACCACCAGCACGGTCCGATGACGCCATGTGCAAGCCATGTGTGAGCAAAGCCAAGTGTGAGCAAAGCCGAAGATAAAAGCGTTGCCTTGAACAACACTTGCGTAGCACGAGCTCACGTGTACCACAGGCAGGCTTAAAACGTGATGCTCACTCTGTAGCTTTGCCTTGGCTCGTACTAGTGAAACAAAGTATAGGTGCATTCTCTGATGAAGGGGCTTATTGTGCAAAGAAAAGCAGGTCATCGTGCAGTTGCAACGTTGACAGCACCAATATATAGAAGGAGCAGCCGGGGAAAACTTCAATTTGTCAGTAGTGTATCAATCCGCGTTTTCACGCCCCAAACGTCGCAACGGCAGCCACTAAGAAATTGGCCAGCCCCGTGCACGGGGGCAAAGCAAGTGGTCGTGAATAAAAGCACAGTAAAGTATGTGATCATTTCACTTGCACTGCCAATATGTCACTATGGCGGGGTATTGTAATAGATCTAGGGAACATATCGGTTGGATCTTACATTTCATTAGGAGCAAAGGAAAAGGCTTGACAAGCTTTTAAACTTTAAACAAGAAAGCTGTGTTTAGATCTTAAAGGGATGCTGAACCGAAATTTGAATTCTCCAAAAAACGCGGCAAAAGCGTGCAACGGGATGCTACAAACACCAAAACATCACTCATACAGCAATATCTCAAACGGATGACCGTATTTTTCAAAAAAGGAGGAGCATTTGGCAGGAATGTTGACGTCATGCTTCTCTGAGAAGGAGAGGGAACGGCCTCGCGTCTTCTCCGCCTCGCGGCCTTGAGGGAGCGAAGCAAAGAGAGGAGGAAGCACGGTATCTTGACGTCACGCGCCTCCTCGGCCTGGTTCAATCTCGACCTCCTTTTTCCAAAATATGGCCGTCCATTCGAGATATCGCATTGCGAGTAGTATTGTAGGGATTGTAGCGCCCCGCCTACATCTCCTGCATTGTTTGTTTTTTTTTAAATCCAAATTTCGGTTCACCATCCCTTTAAGCACTTCGCTTTCGCCACATCGTCCCCTTTTCTCGCACAATATTTTGTTTTATTTTGATCACACATCATAGACAAGTGCGATGCACTTCGAGAGCTTTGGAAATATGAAAATACCCTAAAGCACAGACGCATCTTAATATAGACCGTACATTTCGAACACCTCACCGCTTTTATATTCAAACTTCCGAACTGTCACAATGCTCTTTGCGTCGGTCATCCGTCTTTTCTTGCAAGCTTTTATATTTGCGGTGCCATTGTCTTTCATCCACCGTTATAAAAGGGTTAAGTTTGTATCAAAAACTCTCATTTTCTATCCTACAACAGAAGGTTAGGTATGAATAAGCAGTATATTGTGGTGAATAGAAATGCTTTCGTGTAGCGAGAGTGAATTTTGGATGTACGTTAAAGAATGTGCGCAAGTTATAGCCTGCATGCAAGATCTCGTGTATCAATACACATGATCACATGACAGCTGTATACAGAGCTTGAAGTTGCCAATAAGGACATGCTGCTTCGCTGTTATATTGGAATTTATTCAACTTATCCCTATTGCTTTCTTTCGTATAATGCTTTCATTTTTGTCAGCTTCGAAGTACAAACACCATGGACATTATTTCATATTGAAGAATTAAAGGAATGAAATAGGAACGCCCAGCCACGTCTGGAGAGGGAATGGGCTAAGTCTCTCCACTACAAGAAGTTAAAAGGAATGGAATTCGCACAATCTCCACTCCCAGGAATAGGAACAGACTTGAATGGGTGGCCACATTCCGCAACTGCGATATTCATGGAACGACCGAAAGGCAAATGGGACTTCATTTCTGTTTGTGCCCGTTGATACTACGACACTGACGCCAAGTTTACAAATGCGACACTAGCAGCACCTAACGGCATATCAACACCAGAAAGTTTGAACCATACCCTGATCCAGGCGTCTGCGGTCTTCGGGCATACAACGTAAATGGGACTCAGGATGTCCCAGATAGCTGCACATACCTCCGACACAATTTTGCACGCTGTTGTTCTCCCACAGAGGAAATTGTATGAGGAGGACCTCAGCGTTTCACCTGCTGCCAAGAATCTGCAAATAAAAATAACTATTTGTTCACATTCTCAAGAACCCAGGTGGCATGCTGATGAAATTCTTGGGGGTAGTAGGCCAAACAGGCAAATCAACATCGGACCTCTGGCATGCCACAGCGAAGAGCTGAAGTTTAATTTCAACCACCTGAGGTCCTTCTCATGAGTATTGACATCAAATTACGAGCACGCATGTCGAGATGAGGTTTGCCGATGGTACGTTTTCAAATTTTCAAATCTTTACCTGACGGCCAAAGCCAGGCGATCGTCGGGAGAGATCGGGCGTCGGAATCGGGTTTCCTCCTTCGTGATGTGGGGGCCGACGAGGCTCAAAAGAGTGTCGAAGGACCGCGGCGGCATCCTAAGAAAACTGTAAGAAACCCGTACACAAATGATCATGGGACAATTGAGCATGGTTACCTCGTACAGTCGAGGAAGGGACACTATTCGAGTTTGTTTAAACTGCTTGAGGAGAGCCATAACAAAGAACGCAACGTTTTCAGCGTCGTTCGAGCCAACATGCTCGTACTCGCGGCATAGCGCACAAGTGTATACATTCCAAATTCACTTACTGTCGGTAATACTCCTCGTCATACGAGCGAAGACGAGGAAGGAGGCAGCTGGCTTGTCCCGTCCTTTCGCGGTCTCGCAAACATGGGCGAACCCACCACCGCCGACGGCGACGCTGCTTTTTCGGCGCTCGCTGCTCCTCTTCCTCCATCGCAAGCAGCGAAGACGAGAGGAGAATCATTGCGATCTCCTCTTCTTCATCTATGTAATCGTCCATCATCAGCTTCGCGCCGTGCTTTCCGTTTGGTGCAGCGTCAACGTGAAGCGCACGCCTACCCGTCGAGCCAAAACAAAAACAGGTGAGCGGCG